CAAATACAGAGTCACCCATGTCTGTTCATTATAAACTGATTAACAAGTTGGAGCTGTTCAGTCAGAAATAAATGAAGACCAGCAGGCTGTGTTCCACCAGGACCAGGGCTGGAAACCACTGCTGTACTCTAGGTCACCAACACCTCAGCACTCTGGGAGCAGCAGCTTAGAATGGACTGATTCAGCCCCAGCAGGCTGTTAAAAGGCAGAATAAAAACCGGGAGACACCGAACTCCTTATTCACTGATCAGGACAATTATCTAGAACACTCCTATAGCGCAGCTCTGCAGGACCCAGACTGTGCTACTAATCTCAACCTGTCCAGAAGGGCCCACTGGATCAAATTAAGACAGCGATTATCTCAGTGAACTAATCAAGAGATCCTTCGGCGTGGGATCTGGAACAGCCCGTTGAAAAGCGAACACCTGGCTCTTCACCAGCTCCCAGTGCAGAGGAGCTGGAACTGGGGGCGACAGCATCCCTGCCTCCGCAGCTTTCCCACGGAGCTCCCCCATCCCTAGAGGTCCGGCTGTGGGAATCCTGGACTTCGGCGAGAGGCCGATCAGCTACAACAACGCTGGCGTTTTGTCCCTTCAGGCGTCCCGACAGCAGCGCCAGGGACAGCCCATGGACACGGGGGGCGGACTGTTGCTCAGAGGGGCTGCGGCTTCCGAAACGGTGGGTCCAAAGCATTCCAGCCCCGGCGTGGGACGTCCCGGAGCGTCCCGCCGGCTCGGTCCCGGGTTCGGGGAGAGGGAGAGGGAGAGGGTGGGCGTGAGGGACAGAAAGAACAGTAACTCCAGCGCTGGCGCACTGAGAGAGCGTCCGATGACCCTGCGGTCACTTGTTAAAAATATAGAATTTCCTCTTCTTTTTTAATATTATTAGAATTTTGTATAATTTGTTATTATTATTCAATCTCTGTTGTTCTTTAGGAGCGACACACAGCGTGTCAGACGTGGAGGGGAGAGCCCTGTGGGCATCCGGCTCTCCCTGCGGCGTTGGAGAGAGAGAGAGAGAGAGAGAGAGAGAGAGAGAGAGAGAGGGAGGAGGCTGAAGGACGAAGACAGTCTGTCCTGAACCAGAGCGCTTGTTTCTGTCTCTCTCGTGCAGCTTCAAACCTGCAGGTACTGTATATAATACACACACTGCCCAAGACAACCCCAATACAATATTCCAGAAATACAGGGAAATCGCTCCCCCACCCAAAACAAGTCCAGCCAAGCGTCTGTCTCAGGCCCTGCTAGGCGCACACACACAGTCTCGAGCTGCACCAGACTACAGAGCTGCTGCTGGAGTCTGCTCCCTTTTGTGCTTGGCGTTGTGTGACAGTCTTGTTTCCTCTGTGTCAACAGGGCTCCGTGTATACATACCGATATATATATATACACATGGGACGTATTCGTGCAGATGCATAAATATATATGCTGGTAATTCATCTTCCCGTGTTGCCCTGTGATCTCTCTCTCTCTCCCTCCTTTCACCTCCTCCTCTCAGGCTGTGGTTCTCGTCTTCCGCGTCGAGATCCGCTCTTCTTCCTCTCTGGATCGGCGGCTCTGGGGGTGTTTTGGCGATTAGTTCTGTCTGGTCGGAAAGCATGCAGAAGCGGAGGCAGGAGCTGAGGGCGGGGCAGGCCGAGAGGAAGAGGAGTCTGTCTGCACGTGGGGCGCGGGAGTGAGGCCGCTCTTCTTCACCGCCTGGTGTGGTGTCCTGCACAGCCTGCCTCCTGCGCCGAGCGGGGGAGAGGGGGAGGGAGAGAGGAGGAGAGGGAGGATGGAGCGATGGAGGAGAGAGAAGAGGAGGGAGAGATAGAGGGGAGGAGGAGAGAGATGGGGGAGAGAAGAGAGAGAGATTGAGGGGAAGAGGGAGAGGAGGAGGAAGAGATAGAGGGGAGGAAGGAGAGGTGGAGGAGACGAGCAGAGAGATGGAAGAGAGGAGGAGAGAGATGGAGAGCGGAAGAGATGGAGAGAAGGAGGAGAAGAGATGAGGGGGAAGAGAGAAGGAGAGGAAGAGGAAGAGGAATGGGCAGGGCCGTTTGTTTGACAGCTCTCTCCTCCGGTTGGCAGCTTCTGCTGCTCCTCGCTCCCGAGCGCCAAGCGTGATGAGGAGGGCAGCCTGCGGCCAGGCGGCGGGGAGGGGTGGAGAGGAGGGGAGAGGAAGGAGGCCGTGGAGGAGGGGACGTTCCTCCTCTCGTCAGGGGCTCACTCGCACTCTCTCTGCAGCTCCCTCCTCCTCCCTCTCTTGCAGCAGCGCAGGCCTGGCGGCAGGGCGGCCTCACAGTCTCTCCCGGACCGGGACCCAGATGACCGGACCCGACTGCTCCTCGATCACAGTCTTCACCTTGTGGTAGATCTCCTCGAAGCTGTCACCCTCCACGATGGCTGGAGACAGAGAGAGAGACGGAGACGTCAGACAGGCTACAGCCTCCAGCTCTGGGGGTGCAGTGTGTGCCCAGGCACCCCAATATCTTCGATCATAGTACTGCCAGGCAGGGCTGAATGTGTGCCTGAGGGATTACCGGGGGGCTGTGCTTACACAACGCTGTGCAGAGCGGCAGGAATCACAGCGCAGGGGTGCAATGAGTTTCGAGTTGTTTCGAAAGAAGGCCATTTCCAGAGGACAAACGGGAGCGCACAACAGTGCTTTTTCCCATAGTGCTCCACACCCACATGTTTACAAGCAGCTTTCACACTGGAGAGCATCTCTCTCAGTGACCATCTCTAAACCATGGCAGTTAAGAGAGGCCTTTCGCACGAGACCACAGTTCTCCGCGCCTCCCTGCTGCTCAGAAATGTCACACATTCCACAGAATGAGATCTATGGTTATCCCCCAAACACGCAGAAAGCAAGAATGTTGAACAATAACATGATTAAAAACTGAGCACCTGGCTATATAAAATAAAGAATCTTCTTATCACTTCCTCCCTGGGTTTAAACATCCTCTCTCTGTACTCTGTATCCCAGCACTACGAGTCCAAGATCATCACCAGTGCTTTAGTGCTGAGTGCAGTGAACGAGGCCCACTGATCACCGTTCCACCCCTGATCAATACCAGTCGCATGGTTTGATCATTGACCTAACCTGCCATGAGGTTTTTGCACACAGTTCATTATTAGTGAAAGCTAACCAGCCACTGTCTCATTGGCAAACAGAACCATTTGCAATATCAATAGGCATGAGTGCTTTTTAAGGCAATTAACGGCATTGGATGTAGCAAGGGCGTAAGGTTAGGCCATTGTTATTCTGCTTAAGGGCAATTTTAAAGTGAGCTCCTGTCTCAAAGTGACCCAGTGAATAACCGTGAGATCGGCCTTTAGAGGAACATGAGGCACTCTGTCCTCCAGCGCAGCAGGGGGCGCTGTGGTACCTGAGAAGCACTCGATGAAGTCCTGCTCCAGCTTGATGGCTCTGTCCAATGCTTTCCGGGCCTGTTCCTCCGTCAGCCGCTTGTTGATCTCCCTGAAAGCAGGAGAGCGACACTGTTACACACCTGGAGGATTTAGAGTGCACAGGGCACTGAAAAGAGTGAGCCGGCCCTTTCACACTGCTGCACAGTGAAGCAGTGTGACTGGACCCACACACAGATGGGACTGTGGGAGACACACTCCCGTGGAAACTGAGGGTGAACACCAGGGGGCGCTACATTGGTTAGCAGTTTTATATCCTCTGGCAAGAGTCTCCCACTGTGGTCCTGGGGGTTTATACCCCACCATCAAATCACCACTTTCCAAAAACTGTAGTCAAGTAAATAGGTCATTTGTTAAATTCAGAAATTAAGACATTATTTTAAGACCAATCTAAATATCTAAAAATATTTTGGTCTCTTTAATTGGACTTGATTGTGTGACGTGTGCAGGTCCTGCGTGTGTGACGTGTGCAGGGCCGTTTGTGTGACGTGTGCAGGGCCTGCGTGTGTGACGTGTGCAGGTCCTGCGTGTGTGACGTGTGCAGGTCCTGCGTGTGTGACGTGTGCAGGGCCGTGTGTGTGACGTGTGCAGGGCCTGTGGCGTGTGCAGGATGCGAGGTGTGTTCAGAGTGCATGTACGTACAGGATGTTTTCCAGCGATCGGGGCCTGATAAAGATTGCGATGGGGTGGAGCTGAGCTGCCTGTAGCCTGCGCACCGCGTTCGCCGAGACATCCAGGATACAGTGTTTACCCTGCTGCACATGGGCAGGACACAGACAGGAGAGAGGGAGAGGACAGTGAATATACCACTATACGGATCACTGTCTACTGTCTCTTACATAACCACACAGTCTCTCACACTCTCTCACTCTCTCGTTCCA